TATTATTATTATTATTATTATTATTGTTATTGTTATTGTTGTTTGTTTTTTTATATTGAATCTTCTATAATAATTATTCTTCAGAAAATTATTCATAAACGAATTTGTTTTTATTAATAAAAATAATCCAAAAGTAAATCTATCATATAAAGTTGGATTTATCTTTCTACGATACCAACGTGATGAAAATACATTTGCAAAGAGAAATATTAACGATACTGAAATTTCTAAAGAATCAAGTTTCGAAGAAGGAACTTCTTTCACTGTATAATGAATTTTCTCTGTCAATACATGCCGGTCTTAGTTTTTGATTTTATGATTAACACGAATTGAAGAATTGCCATACATTTTGACAGTGGATGCGCGAAATTGATGCGCATACTTTAAGAAAGAAATTATGGGATCATTGTACTATATCGAGGAAGGAACAATAACACTAGTGTGTTTGTCGGATGATTAAATTATTGTAGTTTATATTAGAAATCACTGCAAAATAATGATTCTATATCAGTACAGTCACATTTAGGACAATGTCTTTGTTCGTTAGATTAAGTTCACCTAAAAACATTTAATTACAATGCCGGAAGTTCCTTCAATTCGTTTGGAAACATTAATTCGAATACTTGGAATTGATTAAACAAATGTTATTTGCATTGAACGAGGTCAGAAATCGCTATAAACAATACAGAACAATGAGCCTGTGTGAACATTATAGTCGTATATATTTGGACGATAATCGTTCGATTGATTTTTCACGGGAGAATAACTTCAGTATGTCTTGTGTGTCGGGTCAAGGATCGTCGCAGTTCACGTAAAACATTCAATTACGATGCCGGAAGTTCCTTCAGCTCGTTTGAAAACATTAATCCTCGGTAAGCCGAATGCTCGAAATTGGGCGGTTCAAGTTTAAACGAAGATTAAGCTGAAAGTTTGTGGGATTAGAGGGAACCCGACGGTAGACGGGTTAGTGAAATGGCGGCTTGACGAGTGTCACAACCGGTCCAGCTGTTTGTTGATTTTCATCGCGATTCTCTTCTGCCCGTATAAAAACAGTTCAATGCTTCCCAGTGGATTTTCAATCAATCATCCTGAGAACCGTAAAAACCGACTGCAGCCAGGGATAAATTGTGAAAGAACGAAATCTGATTTAAATGCAGCAGAAATATCGTCAGATGGTAAAACAATCACTCGTGACTTTGATATTATGAATAATACATTGTGAAACTAAGGGGAATTAACAGGTTCTTTTCGTTTAAAAAAAAAGAAAATTTCTCTTCGGCTTGTGTATTTTGTATACAAAGAATATCTGTTTTACGAGGAATTTTTCTAGAAGAATGTGTTATACTTTTGAACAGACTTCTCATGGAACAGACATTTTAGAATCTGTACTAATGAAAGTTTCACGGAAGCAAGTTATTTTGGAGCATTTAATTAAAAAAACTATTTTTATATTCGAGTGCTATTCATTCAATAGCATTCGGTGTCAATATTTGTTACAAATATTGAGATTTTTTTTTTAATATTGACAAACAAGTTATCTGTTCGTCCGAAATAAAAAATTTTTATTTTTTTATTTTACAAGTTCTACTCTGTATGAAACTTTTATTTTTAAGAACATTTATTTATCTATTCTCACCAGGATTTGTAACGTAAAAACATTTTTCGAAAAGGGAATTTATTTAAAAATTCCTTATTTAAAATTTATTTAAAAATTCCTTTTTCGAGCTTTATATAAAACATATTGTTTATACTTATTTGTATTCCGTATCTATTGTATTCGTAGTCAATTTGAAATATCTAATTTCGATCAAGTTACGTGATCTGAAGAAAATGACGAGATTAACGTTACCAAAATAGAGCGATAATTATTACTTCGAAATGCAAAAAATATTTTTAATATTTTAATGTTACAGTGTATTCTCACGGTGCAAATCACTATGTTTGCATCGGAATTCCAGCGTTACTTTCATTCGACTTTTCCAATTCGAGAATATTTTATAAAAGCTGTGTATGAAATTTATTAAAAGTGATGTATGAAATTCACCATTTCATTTTTCTATCGTAATCGAAAAATATCATTACAAAATATCACGGTTCGAGGTTTTTATACTCCTTCACAGTTTTTTAATACTTTACTCCACAAATTCAAATATTTATACGCTACAAGTGAAATTCATCTCTTTATATATATGTATAAAAGAAATATAAAATTAATATTAAACCTATAAGCATTTTTCTGTTTTTTTTTTTTTTTTTAATAAGTTAAATTATCTCTTTTTCTTGAGACAAAAAATATCATCACCACGATTCGTTGTAGGATTTAACTGAAAATCTTGAAAGCTTAAAATTTTCTAAAAATATTGCTAGCATATATTATTTGACG